AGTGGAACAATCGTTTAATGTTCTTTCCATCAGCCAATTGTGCACCCAACCCCCTTTCTTCTTGTGTTTTAGCTCTAAAGAAATCATATTTGATGACAATCAGTGCTGAGGCTGAAAAAGCATTAAAGGACATGAGCATTCTGATGAGCAGGATGACATGAACATTGAAAAATGTTTGGGGGGGGGGGGGGGGGGGGGTGTTGCTTTCCATGGACTTTGTCCCAGCAACTCGTGACCTCTGACTATTATCTGGATTTACTATTGGACCCTCACCGCCCCCCAACACCACTACAGTACCTACAATGACAGTTTCTGTTTTCGAGGTGAACAGCTTTGCCATTCAGGATTTCCACAGCAGTATCTTGGTGAGTCAAACAAAACAAACAATATCACCCCCAGTGGGTGCCACGCTGACCCAAATATACGCATGTACAGTTCTGCGTCTGCGTGGCGTCCCTGGCTCTGACCTATTCTATCAGTGGGAATGGTCCCACCTAAACATGAGCGCACAGAGAAGTGGAGAGGCGATGCACGGACTGATGCAAGCCCTCCAAAAAGGAGACAGCTGTTCGGGAACAATAGTGCTGGTCATCCTGCACATCTGCAGCTCTGTGGCCTCTCAGTTCAAAGCTCTTTCTCCTTTTTTATGGCTTTTCCCTGGAGAGCAATAACAACTCCCTGAATACTCCTCTCCCACATAAATACACACTTTATCCTGCAGGCCTACGTAAAATAACGGAGGGGATGCTGATCCATTGGCATCAGAGCCCTAAATCTACATGCAAATCGCAAAAAAGAGCAATCTAACTAAGCATGCTCACCCTTGATTGCAGTGATCACACTATTCCCGTCTTTGATCACTTCTTTGAGGAATTTGTTTGTCCTCTCCAGCTCCAGCTCGTAGCACTTGAGAGTCTCTCTGAAATCCGGACTGTCCAGATAGCAGTCGCTGAACTCCAGCGGAGGATGAACCATCTTGTGCACCGCTCGACTTTATAACACAATAGAAACACTGAGTCCGCTTTCCACAGAGGCGCTGCCTACGCTAGTCCGTGGCACGCACCGCTCATTTCTGTTCACTTGAGGCTACTCCACACATTCCGCTCCGAGGTTCGGAAACCATCGTGTCCGTGGGAGCCTGCGGCAACGGATGGTTACAAATAAACTGATCGAAACAGTGAATTCCCGCAGCCTAGGCTCACTTCCCTCTTTTATTCGTCCGCGCTGCTAATGCTTCGGTTTAATTGTATCCTGGTGCCCTGACCACTTTTTTGCTCCTTACCGTGTCGTAATTAAAAGAGCAGCTACGATCCCTCTGACCGCGTCCCATTCCAAAATCCACACTTAAATGACGCCTCACTGTTCTTTCTTAAATAAGCTTTCCATCGCTAAAATTAAAACCCGCTCTTACCAACCCCTCAATGTAGTGAGTATATGTTCTTAGTGAGTATATTTTCTACTTCAAGCGATATTATAAACATATCCGAGTCCAATATCCTTAGTAAAAGTCAATGACAAAGCGCAATGGAGCGTACCCAGCTGGCAACAGAAACACAAAAAACTCCCCTTTTCCACACCCAGAAGGTTCTTAAAGGGCTCGCCGGACACTTTGAGTAATTTGTTTGCCATGGATGCTGCGTTTAGGTGCAGTCGGAAAACACAATTACACTTCCAGACAGGCGGATAGGGTGTGCTCCTGCAGTCAGGGTTAAGTACAAGAATTTTGCTTGTGCAAGCAGATTCACGGCACTTAGCTTACACTGAGGTGTTACCGTGACAGCAGTCAGAGAACTTATTTAAATCCCACTCTGGAAAAAAATGTACATGCTGCCCTTTCTGTTTATGGCATACAGAGAGCAACATAAGTCAAATTCCTTGTTTGTGTGCACAAACTTGGTTAAATAAAGACGATTCTGATTCTGTAGTAAAGACAGTGCCTAAATATACCAGTCTCAGCATTTCCTTGGTTACTTGTTACTGCAACTCCTCTGAATCACTATAATCACTTTTGTTATATGTGCAGACATGTTTCTGTCAGAAGATGCCTGAGCTGAGGAGTTAGAGGCTGGAGCGAGATTGCTTCAAGGGCACTCTCGCAATCTAGAGTGTAACAGGACTGAGCTAATGTACAAATCTAGGGAACTTCTACTTTATATTTCCCCCTGCAACTGTATTCTTTTACTCCGGCACACTTCAGAGGAAAACACTGAAAATTTCATCTCCCTGCTTTTACCTAACAGCCTTCGTTTTTGGAACAAATCCATTATTTGTGTATGTATGTATGTATGTATGTATGTATGTATGTATGTATGTATGTATGTATGTATGTATGTATGTATGTATTATTGTAGAGTAAAAATCGAAGAATATTTTTAAATTTGATTGAAATTTGATTTTATCTTTGACTGCCTGAGGATAAGAATAAAAGAATCAGATGATGATTCTGATGATGATCAGAATCGTCACGATTAAATATAAAGAAATCATCGGCAGCTTTCAATGGCAGAGATTTCTTACAAAATTGTCTTGTTCCCGTTATTCAAACATTTTTTGTAATAATTTTGAAACAAAAAACACTCTGCGAGGCTGTCACGTTAGACACAGTATATTGTTTATTTCTCCAGATCAAACGAATTGTCCTGGCGGTTAAAAAAACAAATACTCAGCAGATGAATGAGCCGTATACAGTACACAGTGCAATGCTCTGCTTTTTATGTTTACTTTTTTACATTAACGTTTAAGATATAACAATCTAATGTTATAATGTTTAACAATGCAAAGGCCCAATTGCCTAAAATTAATTTTCAATTTTTGAAATGTTGAGGCATTATTTTTCATTTACTAAACTAAATTAATTTAAGTTAATTTAAGTTAATTTGTAAATTTTTGTAGTAAACTGTAAATTGTAAATATTGTAAAACTTTTCTTCTGTCATTTAATGGTCGGGCGTTGTACAGCTACAAGCATTTCACCCCCATGTCATACTGTGTATGGTTGTGTGTGTGTGTGTGTGACAAATAAAATTTGAATTTGAAAAATTTGAAATGATCCTGCGTCATTGCTTACGTGTTAATTATTAATCCTGCTGCACTAACGCTTGAAGACCTGTAGATGTCAGCCTCCAGATTCAACTGAAGCAAGCTTGCTAATGCACACATACACAATTTCAGTGCTTTGTTACATTAAACCCTACAGTTGCATTATAAGTACACAGAATTTAGTGTCTGCGTCTTTGGGGCTTGATCGGTTTTGCTTGATGTGCAGTTCAGCTGAGTCACAGCCTGTGTTTCTAATGTCAACACCGGGAGTCTTTGTAGAGGTTACAAGACAGCATCGTGAAATCTCTCTGCAGCTGCGTGGAAATGAAAAACCACTTAAATCAACAGTACAGCAGAACCGAGTTATTTATAATATGTGCAAAGGATCCGTTCATGATGACTGTCTCCTGCTTTGTGACATGAAAACAGACCATGCAACATCTGGTTGGAATCAAGGTCCAGGAAATTAATAGTAGCGTATTGATCCTTTGAGTGTGGTCCGAACGCCAGATATACCGTAGCTAACTAAAATGAAAACAACATCTAGACTTTTGAAGGAAATTTCTGAAACCATTTTGCGAATATATATATATGGTGTCTGCAAAACAGCGAGGCAGCTGCTTTCAAAAAGTTGTGTTTTTTAATGTAATACTTCTGCTGATTATCCTAATTGTGCATGCCCTTCATACAATGATAATTAAAAAGAACATTTTCAAACAAGAAAAACCAAACTGAAACATGAACCCCCTGGAAATGAACTGAATCTGAAGTGACTTAAAAACAAAAAGTCAAAAGGCTGTATATATTTCAAGTTTTGCGAGTTTTTGGATTCACAGTACTTTTAACAGTATATTGTAAAGGGGGAAAAACTACTACTTATGGGATATATTAATATGCCTAAAAAATATGTGTCAGAAATTGCACCTTTATAGATTTCCTGACACTAAAAAAGGTCAAATGAAAGTTCAGAGTAAAGGTTAGAAGGTAAAGGAGATTTAATGTGATAAAGAAAACATGTTGCATTTGATGCAGTTTTAATTGGATGCATGGCACAGGTAGACTGGCCATTGGAAAATTGAAAACTACATCCATTCGGGTGACTTTTACTAGAATTCAAGGGTTAAAGTTTATTTTTGCTAGTTTAAGCATCATTTCAACATTCCCAGAGTCTTTCCCTTGGTGCCAAGGTTTTTAAAGATGTCACTCACCCACAGTTTCTCTCATACTATGACACAGAAATGCAGATACATGACAATACATTTCTCTTTGTTTGTTTTAGTTATCATAGCCAACTAAATGGTCCTAACACTGACAAATGATGACAAGTGATGTCATGAAATATAACAGCTGTCTCACTAATGATTAAAAATAACTATAAACTAGTAAAAATGACTGAATATTATAATGAATAGTTTGTCATATTCAAATCAGCTCTTTTGGATTTTAACTGAGACAAGAAGTGAGCTCAAAAAGTTACTCAGTTTGAAAAGTTGCCAGTTTTTGCCCCATCTGTGAAAACGCCTCAAAATGGATTCAGTTTCCCTTGAGTACACAGTAAACGCAGTCACTGGCTGGTTCAATCAGTGGTTTAGCATTAGGATGTAAAGGTCGAGAAGAAACACTAGATGAGAGTCTGATTCTCAGGATAACAAACCCTTGTCCTCTTATCTTTAGATTTTGAGTCTCATTCTTTGTTGAAGACCTTTATGTTACACTCAATATTACGTCAAAACCACCCCCCACTTCCTCTGCTCAGCAGCATACTGAGGACAACATGACAGACCACAGTCCCCACACAGATTCTTCAGCTGGGCAGAAATTAAAACGTTTGATCTGAATTCTGAAGCTGTTTGTTTGCGCTGCCTAAATGGGGCTATTGTATGCAAATTCTTTGCACAGAGGCATATGACCTCCCCAGTGCAGGGCAGTGGCTAGTGTGAGGGAAATCATTAGCAATGCAAAGTCATGGTGCTCTGATACTCTTGTTCACAGTCAAAGACTGGAAAAAAAAAAATCTGATCTGGTGATGCTAACTTAAATGTTTCTGGATGCACTTTATTTGCAAGCAGAGCTAAGGTAAGTTCATTTTATTGATGGCTTTGTTCCTACATCATGTGGCTGCGCGGATGGACAGTTTAAATAGTTTCTTTTCAGCGTGTTCATTTATTCTGTGCTCATTGGCAGATCATGCTTAGCTGTTAATGTCACTTCACACTATATTCACAAGATATGATTAGGATAAAAAAGAAAATGAGACTCTTTTCCAAACATGTTCTTTTTGAGATTTCGTCCGAGAAGTGATGATCAGACAACATTATTTATTTGCAGACCTTGTTAGTTATTTCTATCTGCCTGATCAGTGAATTGTGTGAAAACCTTCTAAGCTAAGAAGCAGAAGAGTCCTTCTATGTAACTTATCAACGTCCTTTAGGAGCACAAATGATTTTCCTGCCGGTGAGTGGAGACTATCCAAGAGTCTGTTAATCCAGCTACAGTTGCTCATTTTGCATGCAACACCATGGCTACTGGTGAAAGCATGTCACATGACACATGGTGCCAGACCTCAGTATTGCACTCTTAAGTGGGCTGCCAGCTGCAGAGGGGGGCAGAGAGGCTTTTTTCCTTCTCTGGACTCACATCCATGCCAAACCAGCGGGTCAACATTGTCCTCCACGCTGCCTCCTATGCCTCTTACACCTCCAGCTGAGCCCGGTAACAACTCCAACATTTACTCTAGACTCAGACATAACAGAGCAATCAGTAATGATCAACACCAAGGGGATCAAACATGCTACAATTTAAGACTAAGAAGAATCATAGGCGTAAAAAAGAAAAAGTTGTGATGTACTCATTACTATTAATTTACCAAGTCCAGCCAAAGTGTGGCTGCACCATGTGTTCTGATTTAAGTCAAGTGTGCAGGTTGCTATTATTTAAAGTGAATAAGTAAGACAGTATTGTGTTTATTAAGTTTTAAGTTTGCTGTTGAAAAGTGAAACTGAAAGTCTCCTTTGTGTCTGACTTTGACATTCAGGAGAACTTTTAGAGAGTTATATTTCCTGCCTTTTTAATCTAAAGTATTTTTCTTGTTCTAAGTTTGATGCATAGATCATTTTCATGTGCATAATCTTTTACATAATATTTCCTGATGATTTTCAAGCAATAGTTTTAACTTAAGTGTCACTCTAACACCTTCAGAAAGAGCTGATGCATGATGATGTGTGCAAATTGTTTTCTCATAATCCATATATATTCAGTTTTATGTCACAGAAGGCAATAAGTACAAACAATCCTCACAACAGAAACTGGAGGGAGATTTTCTGCTTTTAGAGAAAAAAAAAAGCGCTTTTTCACTCAGAAAATTAACCGAATGATCAACAAATCAATTATTTCGTGAAGCTGCTGTTGTGAAGTTTACTTGTACTGAAGGGCCAGTAATTTTGTGCCTGTTATGTCACAAGATGGGATTTGTTAGTGATTTTTTTATAAAGCAAATTTTTAAGTATTTTTAGGAACTTCAAGGGAATTTTGGTTAAACATGCAAGAGTTCTGCAAGTCCTGAGGAGTTAATGTGATGAAGTAATTTATACATCAGGGCAAAGGGAGGATATACTGAACAGAAACACAGGGGGACTGATCCCGGGTAAATTTGCATCGGTCAACTCTCCAGAGTATAGCCTTACACACGGGATTTACTGTACATCATTTGCATTGCTTCACTTGCTAATTTTTGGTTCTACTTTTTTGGAAACAAATTGTCCAAGTGAGAGCTTGGCAGACCTTTTTTTAAGATTTAAGAAGCCTTCATTTTTGCCGAATGGCTACATGCGAAGAAGACAGTCTTATTTGAATGTCTAATCTCAAACAGTAAGAATTATCATAAGATCAGATCAGAGAAACTCTTGTCATAGCAGCATACATGTAATAGACAACAAAGCAATAACATAAAAAAGCAGAGAAATATAAAAATGAATATAAAAAAAGAGATGATTTTTATCTTTTTTTTTATCATTTTATGGTTTGTTTTACATTATTGTGTTGATTTGCAGTAAAATTATTTTACAATAAAAAAAATTTAATTACAAAAAAATTATATCATATGATTTTTGTGTTTGTTTGTTTTCAGACCCGGAACCAAAGATGAACTGGGCATCATTTTATGCTGTCATTAGCGGTGTGAACCGCCACTCCACCGGCATCGGTCGAATCTGGCTCTCCGTGCTCTTCATTTTCCGCATCCTGGTCCTCGTGGTTGCAGCCGAGAGCGTGTGGGGCGACGAGAAGTCTGGCTTCACCTGCAACACGCAGCAGCCGGGTTGCAACAGTGTCTGCTACGACCACTTCTTCCCCATCTCCCACATTCGACTCTGGGCACTCCAGCTCATCCTGGTCTCCACTCCTGCCCTGCTGGTAGCCATGCACGTTGCCCATCGGCGTCATGTTGACAAGAGGCTCTACAAACTGTCGGGCCGGTCCAACCCGAAAGACCTGGAGCAGATAAAAACACAGAAGATGAAAATCACTGGGGCCCTGTGGTGGACATACGTCATCAGCCTTTTGTTCCGTATCATCTTTGAGGTCACTTTTATGTATGTGTTTTATATGATCTACCCTGGTTACAAGATGATCCGGCTGGTGAAGTGTGACTCCTACCCTTGTCCCAACACGGTGGACTGCTTTGTGTCGAGACCCACAGAGAAGACTGTCTTCACCGTGTTCATGTTGGCTGTGTCAGGTGTTTGTATTCTACTCAACATTGCCGAGGTGGTCTTCTTGGTGGGGAAGGCTTGCAGCAAGCATTTGCACAATGCTGGAGACTCGACTATGGGGGCTTGGATCCAACAAAAGCTTTGCTCATTCTAACAAAATGCACAGCAGCACAAAGGAGACATATAGTCAAAGGAGCTTGCAAAGAAAAGCGTCTGGACTTCTTTAAGTTGCTTGAAGACGTTTCACCTCTCATCCGAGAAGCTTCTTCAGTTCTGAACTGAACTGAAGAAGTTCAGCTTCTTCAGTTCAGAACTGAAGAAGCTTCTCGGATGAGAGGTGAAACGTCTTCAAGCAACTTAAAGAAGTCCAGACGCTTTTCTTTGCAAGCTCCTTTGACTACGATGACCTGGATGACTGAGAACCTTCACAGACAAAGGAGACATATAAGTGACCATTTAGGTAACAACTACTGATTAAACTTGTGAGGTTTATATCATGGCGATGCTTCACCGGTTCAAATGCAGAAAGCCAGCAGTTCATGTTTCGACAAACATTTCTAGTTATAATGGATAGCTTGGTGTTTGTCTGACTGCAGATCAGTTAAAAACACTTAATAAACCAATATTTCCACTGACCACATTACAGCCTTCAGCTATCATGGATTTGTTTTAATCTTTATCTTGAAATGAAACTATAAAAGCTGCCCAAAGTCATAGCAAAACTTCCAGTTGGTTGAGAAAAGTGTATTGTGGGCATGGTCATTAATAATATTTTGTTATTTATGTGACACATAATCACAAACACTGATGTGAGTGAAATTATACTAATACATGCATGTAGTAAACATGTTGCATTTCATATGTATTGAATGGGGCAGTCACATTATTTGAATTGGCGGTTCAATACTTTCACTTAGAAAGACAGTAATAGAAAAAAAACTTGAATTGCATTTTTTTGTGTGAAGCTTTCTTAACATGGTGATATTTCTATTTAAATGTATTTATTTTGAAAGTGGAATGTTTCTATGTTGTCCATACACAACAGAATAAAATCAACCAGACTTTAAACTAACTGTGCTGTTTTTACCTACTCGGTTAAAGGGGATTTGTTCTGACACATAACAGATTGAAAGCTGTTTAAGCGTACTCTGGCAGGACTTCCCGGCTCTGTGGAAAGGTGATAGAATAAACGACCAGCGGGCGGTGGTTAACGATAGGTACAAATAAAGCTGAGGCCACAGAGGTGCCGGTGTCAGAAATGTGACTGAGGGAAACAAAATATGTGAACGAAACATCCTCACGCATTTCACCCCATCAACTCCACCGTGTGTGAGATCTTCAAAGTCACCTGCGAAGAACTGTCTCAGGTGTTATTGGTGTTGGTGTTATCAGTGGACTCACCATATAGGAGTTTCAGTGTGTGGATACCCCCATAGACAGCTGAACCTGCTGTCCCAGAAAAATGAGGTTGTTTCTCTTTTTATGGAAACCATCACCACACATTATTCAGGAAGGCAAATTAATTTACAGTAAAATGGCTTTAAGTGTGCTTATTTTGCAGATGGCCTTCCGCAAAACACCCCAAGTGAAAGTGATTTTAATCCAGTATGTCTTTTTTCACAGTGTTATTTTGTGATGAGTAATTGTACTTGTGTACAGGTAAATAAACTTCTGTCTTTTCTGATGCTTTAATAGAGGGACCTTAAGTCTAAATAGCATAATTAGGTTAGTACACCATCCTCTGTATGCAGGCATCATTTTTTCAGGTATTACTCCATGCAGTCTTCCTCCGTGTAGCACTGAGGGATGGCTCTGTGCCATCTAAAGCTCACCCACGCAGTCATGGGTCAGATCACCATAAAAGTGGCAACAAAACCACTCCCTTCACCATGAATTATATTTAGAGCACAGTGGTATGTAGGCTTAACCTGCATCCTCACTGGACTCCTCAGCTGCCACTCAGTTCAACAGAAACACCTCTTGACAGCGAGGATTTTAGACTTTTCTTCTCACAGGAATGTTTTCATCTGTGCTGAGACAAGACAAGGGGTTTAGCTGTGGTGGCTTGTTGAGGACTGGGCATTGATAAGGTCAGAGTAGGAGGGAGGGCACCAAGCAGAATCCCAGAGAAAACTGCCTGAGAGAAGTTTATCTTTGGTGCTGCAGTTTCCTCAGCAGCTCAGGAGAACATGGCCTCGCTGTGAAGTGAAGAGGTCAAGTGACTGAAAGAAATGAACTTTATCAGGTAGGTCTTTCTTAATCTTTCTGGGATGTTACTATTGCTTCGCTAGCAGAATTATTATGAAGAAAAAATATGAAAGGAATTTTGAACAGAGTGAAAGAACTCCACATTCAGCTGTGGTAAAAGAAGTTGATCCATGTGACCATGTGACCATATGGATTTAAATTTTTTGATTTGTTTTTTGATTTTTTTAAAATAATCACTCAGGACATTTTTAAGTATTTTTTTCAAGTTTATTTCTTTTCTAAACCGTAACAAATATGATATGAGATCTAAACTAGACACCTAATTCTGGAGTCGGAGTACTGTGTCACAAGATCAGCGTCGATCCTGAGAGTCTCACCCAGGCCGCTCCGGGGCTATCTCTCAAACACAACCATCTGTGTCCCTGCACTTTTTATCAGATCGTTCTGACAAACATTTATGAGTACAAACGGGTGAATTCATGATCAGCATTCTCTGGGAAAGTTGAACGTGGGATTTCTCAAGACCAATACTAAATGGATTCATCATACTATATGAATTAACTACATATCTAAACAGTAAAGCAATCAAACAGTTTACACTGAATGTGTGTTTTGTTTTGTTTTAAAAATTAAATGTGTTTAAAATGTAAAAACCTTGAGATGAATCAGTGACATTAAAACTGCACTTGACTGATTTTATGTCGTGTTCTCACATTTAAATGTGTGGCACACTCCTCGTCAGAATTTTTAAAACGGTTCATTAAAAAAAGTCTGAACTGCACTAATAGCAATGTTATCAGTTAGTTATCCAACATGGTATTGTATACTGCAAAGTACAAGTATGACAACATAGGGGAATTTTAGATTTACATACAAATCAGACTCATGTACCCTTGACCCTGTGCTATGGTGGATTATTGTGCTATACACAATAACATGAAAAGGAAAGTTCTGATAGGACTCTATGTAGTCCTGCAAAAAACTAAATGCACCTTCCCTATTTCCACAGGAACTGAGAAGGTAAATAGAAGCTAGATACTACTAATAATACGTCTTTAAATGAATAACTAATTAAATAATCATCAGCAAGTGGGACCACCTCTGTAAAAGTAGAGGTTTTGGTAGTTTTAACACAGTGCCACACTTCCCTGCATGCCCAGGTGTCAAATGTGAAATTTTATGATATTTCATTTAGAAAAGGACCAAACTTGCTTGAAAGGAAAAAGCCTTTCTGCAAAGAACCTGGCAGCATGCCTTAGGTTTGCAAAGTTGCATCTTTGCAAACCTAAGCAAAACCCCTTATACCAGTTGTCAAGCAGTGGTGGAGGGGTGATGATTTGTGCTTGTTTAGCAGCCACAGCCTCTGAGATCCTTGTAGGCACTGAGATGACCATGAACTCCTCTGTATACCAAAATATTCTAGTGTCAAACGCGAGGTCATCTGCCTGACAGCTAAAGCTTAGCTGAAATTGGCTCATGTAACAGGACGATGGCAGTCATTCACAAATGTGCATGGAAACGTTCTTACCCTGAGCAAAAAACAAGTGTGCACTCAAAATCTCTATCAGAGTTATGAAACGTTGGCAATGGAATATTTTGTTCTTACCCCCATGGATATGTTCTGAACCAACAGGGCTTATGCAGTCTCCATATTATCTGCATACTGCCATGCTCCCATTTCTCTACACAGAAAAATATGTTTACCTGAAGGTAAATTAAAGAAAGTGGAGACAATACATATTTCCTCATATAGAGATTTAGAATTCTGATTAACATATAAACTATTGTATGAACAAAACAAGCTGGTGGGAACGTTTCCTGAGCCTTATTCTAATTTTGCATGTGCAAATATGACAGCTAACAATCACCTTATAAAAGTCCAGTCAGTCAATCAACTAATTTGTAAATATCATCATCATTTCATTTACTAAAGCTTATCACGTTGTTTTTATGGTAATAAGTGGTGATATGGTATGGTAATAAGTTACTTGACAGGTTAAGTCTGCCATATTACTTAGTTTATTCAAATAAAACATATCCCCTCTACTTACAGGCCTTTCTTCTGGTTTTGCCAATAAAGCTGAGGGGACAGTTGTAAGACGGTATGGCTGACTGGAACTTGTTAGGGAAGCTGCTGGAAAGTGCTCAGGAACACTCCACTGTAGTGGGTAAAGTCTGGCTGACAGTGCTGTTCATCTTCCGCATCCTGGTGCTGGGGGCTGCTGCTGAGAAGGTGTGGGGCGACGAGCAGTCCAGCTTCACGTGCGACACCAAGCAGCCGGGTTGTCAGAACGTCTGCTATGACACGACCTTCCCCATTTCTCACATCCGCTTCTGGGTGATGCAGATCATCTTTGTCTCCACGCCCACTCTCATTTATCTTGGTCATATCCTTCATTTGGTCCGCATGGAGGAGAAGGAGAAGCAGAAACAAAAGGAGCTTGAAGACCAGCAGCAAGTATTCTGCCATAAGGACAAAAAGCCCTCAGTTAAAGACAAACAGGGCCACGCACGTTTACAAGGTGTGCTACTGCGGACCTATGTCTTCAACATTATTTTTAAGACCCTGTTTGAGGTTGCGTTTATTGTAGCTCAGTATTTTCTATATGGGTTTGAGCTCAAGGCCATGTACACCTGCGACCGCTGGCCTTGCCCAAACATGGTGAACTGCTACATCTCCCGCCCCACTGAGAAGACAATCTTCATCCTTTTCATGCTGGCTGTGGCCTGCGTCTCACTGCTGCTCAACCTGGTGGAAATGTACCATCTAGGTTTTACAAAGTGCCACCAGGGTCTTTGTTGCAGGAGTTCAAAAGCCGCACGTGAAGGTTCCAAAGCCCTGAGTGAGCCGGTCATGCCCTTTGTCCCAAACTATAACTACTTTGGAGGTCATTCTGCTGTGCCTGAACTTTTCCCTACAGACTCAAAGTACAGCATGCCAGAGCCAAACTCTGCTTACAGCCCCTACAACAGCAAGGTGGCC